TTGATTGCATCTTAAGATATTCTTGTAAAATAAAATCACTCAATTTAATGATTATTTTTAATTAAATTCTTTATTCTGTCTTATTAAATATATAATTTATAAACTTTTTTTGTCTGGCTTACATAACTTGAGGATAGCTAGTTATTGCTACCAACTTTTCTGTGGTTAATGATAGGAGCTCAGTCTGCTTTTTCCATATTAGGTTTAGAAAATTCTTCAAAAATTTTAAAGTTTTTATTGAGCTGTTCAATTTATGATATTGTTAAACTTGATCATACTTGTCAGTTTAACTAAACCAAATTTTTACCCCTTTTGTTTAAAGCAGATGTTTAACTGAAAATCTTTTAGCTATATTTTTATGAATTTCTTCTGGTTTCTAAAATCACCTTTTTAAAAACATGTTTACATGCCTGAGAACATTTTTATGAACTTTTAAGTTCTTACACCAAGTAGAATTAGCTTTGGTGACAGATTTTAAAGAGCCACAAAAAAGGGCAGCAGGAAATTCACTGAAAGTTTGTATGGTTGTTGTAATTGTTTTTCAAGAGAGTGATTGGCCTAAGTTTCACCAGAGCCCTGTTAGCCTTCTTTGTTCTGTTCCCATTTTTCATAGCATGAATGATGGATTGGTCTTTGGGAAACATTCAGCAGAGTTAACTGATAACCATTGATTAACAATCTCAGTGTATGACAACTACTTGCCTTCGGCCACTGGTTAAGGGCAACAGACAAACTTGTGTCAAGATTCAGTCTCTACCAACCAGAGCATGGCAAAAAAAAGGTGGCGATGTTCAAGAATGATCTATATAAAATACACAAAGACCACACAAAAAACAGCTGCAAACTTGTGGATACCTGTCTTGGATAGAGAAGAATGAAGAAGTTTGGCTTGGCCCACATACCCTTAATTAAAGAAGAACCTATTACAACAGTGAAATTGTAAAAGTATAAAAATAAAATAATTTAAGTTTAATGTTATCATGATCATTTTTATTCCTTTTGAAAATTTTAATATTGTCACATGATAGCATTTTTAGCATATACAAAGTCTCAAATTTGTTTGGAATCTAACTAGCATTCTCTATGCAGTGTATATAAATATGATACATATTAATGAATTCAGTAGATTTATCTGACCCTGATAAGCAATGTATCTGAAACTTGAAATCAGTTCTGAGATAAGTCTTTTGAACAGAAGTATATAAATTCTTGATGCTGGCCACTTTCTAAAATCTGGAAAAATGGTCAAACATCAGAATTTTTGAGTGAAAGGGCCTTTTTGACTAGGCTAAGAACTTTTCAGCTCACTATTCTATATAAGAATGATCTGTCAGTGAGCATATCATAAAAAAATATATTTATTTTTCAGTTTCCGAGGGGGACTTGACATAACACATGGGCAAACTGGGGATGTGTCCATTTATACAGAATTCATGGATAATGAAATAATGTTCCATGTCTCTACATTGCTACCTTACTCAGATGGTGATTCACAACAGGTAACTGCTTTATGAATTTCTAAATCTTAAGTTAAATTTTATAAATCTGTTAAGTAGCTACTTAACAGATTTATAAAATTTAACATGAAAATGATAAACTTCAAATTTTAGTGAAAATTTGTGTGCATTATTGTTGTAGAGTAGGACTCAGCATACTTCCTTCTCTTATTTACTAACATGACAATATACTGCCCCTACTTATAAATATGGCAAGTAGCCACATTAGAGTAGGATTTGAGGAGTAGTTGATTTACTAAGTTTTTCTGTTTTATGTATGAGTATTTAATAAACCTCTTCTCTGTTTTCTTTACCTACTCCTCTGTTCCTTAAATACTCTCTCTAACTACAGCCTTTTTAATTCTTGGCTATTTTGAACAAAGACAACATTACAACAGTAGCAACAAAGTCTTCCTAATTCTCACCAAAATGGAAGATTTAAAGATAGTAATCCTGCAGCAACAATGACAACTGCATGAGCAACAATGAGTAACAAACACAAATGATATCATTACTCATACAAAAGATAAATAAAACAGTAATGAATGTCTCATTTACTCTAGACACTGTAGCAAATTAAATAAAGTTCATATATAGGCCTGAAGGTCATATCTTTTGAGGTATACTTCAGAAAATATGAAGGAATTTTCAAGAATGACTGTCTAGATGAGAAAAAAGTACAACTACTTTTAAGGAAACTGAGACCTGCAGAAAATGAAAAGTACTCCAGTACTACAAAAAACCTAGCAAACTTCAGTTTTGACCAGATGTTAAGTATGCTTTCTAAAATTTTTGGAGTGAAAAGTTCACTTTTCTATACACATTGGCAGTGTTTAAATTTAATAGAAAATGACACAGATGATTTCATTACATACACAGGAGTAGTAAACAGGGAATGTGAAAAATTTGAATTATGCAAAATGTCTCCTAACAGGTTTAAATGTCTAATTTTGTAAAAAGATTGACTTCTAGCAAGGACTCTGAAATATATTCACATATTCTTTCAAACACCAAGACCAAAAATTCCAATGCATATTAAATCTTGAGCATGATACCGACAAAATTGAAGGCAAAGAGGTAGACATTCAAATGATTAACAGGAAAGAAAAAGTCAAAAAATAAAAGACCTAACCCATGTCATGGGTGTGGGACCAGACATTTTAAAGACAAATGCCCATTTAAAAATGCCAAATGTCTTGTTTTCTCAGAAGACAAGACATATTCAAAAGATATACAGGGAACAAAAATAATAAAAACCTGATTATGTTAAGGTTATTTTGACAACCCAAGGACATTATGGTTATAAGTAAAAAAAATGTGGAAGAATATTGGCACCCCAAAAATTGAAAAAATTGTTGTTATGTTATCTTTGTTCAAAACAGCTGAGAATTAGGAAGGCTGTAGTTAAAGAGTGTATTGAAGGAACAGAAGACTAGGTAGAGGAAACAAAGATGAGATTTATTAAATACTTATACATACAATGGAAATACTTAAGTAAACACAAATACTACTCAAATCCTTCTCTAATGTCATATTTATTAGTAGGAGCAGTCCATTGTCACAGTAGTAAGGAATTGCAGGAAGTACACAGTCATACTCTACAACACTTTTTTAACCCAGTATTAATTGGAAGAAAATGTATATATTTGCCTTTTTTGTTCTTTTATTCCAATTTTTGGAAACTGTTTACTCATTCCAGCTCTTTTATTTTTCAGTTACAGCGGAAGCGTCACATAGGAAATGATATTGTAGCCATCGTCTTTCAAGAAGAAAACACACCATTTATTCCTGGTGTAATAGCTTCCCATTTTCTTCATGCTTATATTGTGATTCAACCAATCAATTCTAACACAGATAATGTCATGTACAAGGTCAGTGATGTTTTAAAATGAAATTAACCTGATGGTATCAAAAGTTGTCTATTTGTCCTAAATTTCTTGAAGTGAAACAATTCTTTATTTACATATTTAAACTTTTTTAAAATTTATTTCCCTCCAATAATAATACCACTAGGATGCAAGGGGTTACTGGGAGTGAAAGAGAATGAGAAGACATTAGTGAGGAGAAATGACAATAGAGATACAGAGTTCAGGAAGACAAAAGATGGCAATTGGAGTTGCATTTAAATTTTTGACGATTGTAGGTGTGGTAGGATAGCAAGAAATCAAATGCGAGCTCCACGCATGAGAAGTGCAAGAAAATAAACTATTAGAACATGCAGTTTTATCTAGTAAATTCAACAGTAAACCAGTGATACCTTGTTGCTAATCTAGTAGCACACTTAAATTTCTGCAGTTGAGGTACCATGGAGGAAAGTTTGTCAAAGCAATTGCTATAAAAATATTTGTAGAAAAGGCACGTTAGAGTGGTGAGAAGGGACTGAAGCCAAGATGCCAATTTCAGGACCAATAACATTACAGAACCTTCTTTGAATCATTCCACTTATCAGTAGAAAACCTGAGTCCAAGAATTGCTCTCCTGGAGGTTTGTATCAGCCATTCTTTTTTATAGTGATTATAGGAGGCATGAAAATTTACAAGCCATTACTTGCCTTAGGTCCTTTTTTAGAGCTGTTGTCAGTTTTACTTTGTTGGATCTGTCACTAAGACAGTAGTAAATAGTTGTCATCTGCACTAATACCTAGTTAGGGACTGATGATATCGGGAATGTTATTGATGAAGATAAGAAACAATGTAGGTCCAAGGATAAATCCCTTGGGATCCCCTGTATTAATGTGAAGTGAATTAGAAGCATGTTTGTTCAACATAACATTCATTACATGATTTGTTAGGAATGATTGGATTAAGCAAAATATTTGTCCAGAGACAATGTAGCCCCAGAGTTTATTGAGAAAGCCAGCATGTCAAAGCCTGTCAAGAGCTGCCAGTAATCTAGAATTAAAATTTTAAGAGGCTATACAGTGTCTCATTCTATTTGAAAATATTGATTTGGTCTCATTACAAGCAATTACAAAGAAGTATCTGTTATAATCAAACCTGTTGTATTGGTATAGCCAGAAGAAGTGATTCTTGTAAGTGATAGCGACTGAACAGGCAAGAGAAAACCAAGGAGAAGATTGTGGTTTCACTTGGTATTTCTGTGTTTATATGAAAGATTTGATGTTGGATTTCACCCAGAAAGAGACCTCAATGGCACATTTCTCAATAGGATGATTAAAAAATATAATTGCAATGGGCTTTGCAAAGAAAGTCATGAAACAAGTCCCAATCAGTGCTTGATAACAGAATGATGTTCTGTTAATAGGGGTTCTTACTTAATAGGTGACTAGAAGGATCTACAGACACTACCACATAGTCAAAGTTACCAAGGGGACAAAACTGCAAAGTACAACATAAGTCTGAGGAGGTGGTAAGGAATAGATCAAGTAGAGAATCTTTCTTACTGATTTTTAAAAATCAGTTTACATATAATAAATCAATTAATATATTAGTATTATTTCGCCATTTTCAGTTTTCATGCTGCTTTTTCACTGGTTACCAACACTCACATGAACTGTATTGCATTACATATTGGTTTTATTATTAACACTCAAACTGTATGCATATAATTACTGTATAGCTGTCTTGTAAGTTTTAGTGTTCTTTCACATAATTACCTAATGCTATATGATATGATATTGCCAAGTTTGCTTAAGATTATAAGTGCTGAGAAACTTTTAATGATTAAATTCATGCTTTTCTTGGCTATTGGTCCTAAAATTGCATCAGTGTATATAACCAAAATTTGGTTTCCTAATACCATTTTTGAAAGTATTAACAATCCACTTCTATAAAGTTGTACATATGTACTAATGGAAAATAAAATTGCAATACCCTGAAGAACAATGCTAATTTTAACCTGGTTAAACTTTAGCTATCATAATGTAATAACTTTTATACCCTTCTGTATTTGAGCTTTAAACAGTGATACATGCTGTCATAAGATTCAATATAGTAAAATAGAGTCCAACGCAAGCAGGTATCATTTTGTTCAATTAGAGCTATTTGAGAGATGTTGATTGGATTGTAAACCTTTAAGAATCTGGATAGTTATTTGTAAGAATTGTTGCATATGTGGGTCATGATGTATCTATTGCACTTTGATGGTGGCAACAGTGGTCAAGTGAACATTCATACAAGTTTAAACCAGATTCTGAATGGTCACATTGTCCAGACTCTCTCCAAAAGTAATGCATTGTAAGCACACAGCACCAATCAGTGTAAATGTGCTCCCTGGAGTCTGAATACAGATGAGTAGAAATTGTTTACCTGTAGCAGGACTATGTGGTATGGTGAGAGTTATAACCATTGTCATTTTTGTAAGGAAACTTTGAACTTCTTCATGTATGCTTACAACATTGTACAATTGGTTCTGCTGTCATTTCTGCAACAGGAAGGTGATGTACTCTTCTAGCAAGATAATGATCACCTGTATACTCTGCAAGATGTTTGACAACTTTATTGGTCAGCATAATTGCCAGACATTTTGCCATTGTATGTGTATGGGACAACACCTAACTCCTCAATCAGTGAACCACCTACAACTCCTATTGCACCAATGAGCACAGGAGGTGTTGAATAATGTATTATATTAACCATCTCTACAGTTGTTTATTGACTTCAAATGTTTGACATAAACTGGGAAAAAGCTAAAGATAGCATTACCAATTTGACAACAACTTATTTCTTTTTGCTTATGTTAATTCTTTTTTTTTAAGATTAGAATTTGAACATTTTTGTCTTTTATCTGCTAATAGCTATAGTATAACTAATATTTTAAACTTATTTACTTTCGTTCATTAACAAAGTTTTTTTTAACTGAATCCTAAAAGTTTACTGTATTTTAACAATGTTAAAAAAAAAAAAAAAAAAAAAAAAATATTGCAATAAAAATTTATTTCACTCAAATTGCTTTTCATCCCTATATTTTTCAGGTGGCTGTAACAGCACGTGATGATGTACCTTTCTTTGGACCCACACTTCCTCAGCCTGCCATTTTCAAGAAGGTAGAATCAGTTATTGTCTCTCTTTCTCAATTTGTTTTCTTTTAAATAGTAGTGGTTATGTAATTGATAATGGAAGGTCAGATAATCTGAAAGAGTTGAGTTGGGCTGGATGGCATGGCCTGAAACATTCACCAGTCACAATTCAAGAAAACTTACATCTAACAGAGACTCTGGATACATTATAATTTTAACTTTTGTTAAATCACCAAAAGCTTAATTTCAGAGGTTAAAAAAAAACTTTGTTTTTATATTGTCATCTTCCATTGATCAATATATTCCTTGTTCACTTGTTGAATTTTCTTTTCAAATTGTAACATTTTTCTATAGCTATATTTTATTTACATATTATAAAGAGACTGAACATTTTTGTTGTAACTGTTGAGTCATTTTCTTATTTTTAGATAGAGTACATAATAGTTTTATAGTAATGATTAACAATATGGTAAATCTGTAGTGCTGAAATTATTTCATGTTTCTTTTCATAGATATCTGAATCAATATTATCTTTTCTTGATTTATAAAATTTTTCTCCTTTTTATCATAATAATAGCAAATTTACTTACAAAAAAGAAATAGCTTAATGCCCGACTGCGTCTCCTAATTTTTTAAAATTCTTTTGTAATTTCTTTCTAAGGGACCAGAATTCCGTGACTTTGTGCTTGCAAAACTCATCAATGCTGAAAGAGCCTGTTGCACTGCAGAGCAGTTTGCCAAATTGGCAGTAAGTGATTTCAGTTAAACTATAGTAGAATACCTTATATTACAGGCCTGAAGCTAATTCTAGTTTCAGTATAATTCTATGATTCTTAACCACTGGGCTATAACTAAAATTCTGTCTATATACAGTTGATGTGCTCAAAAATATGCTCTAAAAATTTGTCCCTGTGCATGAAATTCATAAACAATTATAATTTATTGTTTGAAGCTCTCATTAATGAAAATATATTTAGTAAATGATAAACATTGCATTGTATTAGTTTTTAGAATGTTGTAAATATAAAACTATTCTTGTAAATAAACAATCTAATAAATAAATAGTTTTTAATATTTTTGTTTTAAATTCTTAAGAACAAAGAAATGTATTAATTCCCTTTCATATGTTTAGATTTTCTTAAAATTCTAATCAGTGCTTTTTAAAACAATAAATATTTTTGAGGAATGAAGGTAGTTAAAATAATAGCAGTGCCGAGGGAAAACAGTTCTTTTGACATACCACATTTTTGCAGGTAGGAATGTTAAACATTGCCAAATCCTCTAAGTAAAATCTAGTGGAACCAGTTACCTTCAGAAGTTACATAATTAGTAAATAGTGTTCTGATGATTACTTTTAAGCAAAGGAAATAATGGAAAAAGGGTTATGGCCCTTGATTTTTTACACTCCAGTTAAATACACCTGTTCTGTGAAGGCTTCAGAGGCTTGTTAGAGAACATTACAAAAAAAAAACAGCATCATGAAGACCAAGGAGCTCATCACACAGGTCTGGGATAAAGTTAGGGAGGAGTATAAAGCAGGGTTAGGTAAAAAAATATGTTTTGAACATCTCACGTAATACAATTAAATGTATCATCCAAAACTAGAAAGAGTATGGCACAATTGCAAATCTACCAATCAAGGCCACCCACCTATTAATCAGAAAAGAAACCAAGAGGCTTCTGGAGGAGTGCAAAGATCCAAAACTCAGGTGGGAGAATCTGTCCAAAGGGCAATGATTAATAGTGCACTATAAATCTGGCCTTGGGCACCTCAATGTCTGATGGTTAGCAGGCTTGTCCTGCTAGAATATTTACAACTGAGGAGTGAGTTTGATCTTCACTGGTTGTCCCAGAATTTTGGCCTTGTCCCACATCTAAGCTATGCTTGGAAAATCACTGTAAATATGGCATTTATGAAAGATCAGCAAGAAGAAAGCCACTGTTAAAAGAAATCCATAAGAAGTCCTGTTTGAAGTTTTCTATAAGTGTGGGAGACACAGCAAGAATGTGGAAGAAGATGCTCTGGTCAAATGAAACCAAAATTGAACTTATTGGCCTTGATGCAAAATTCTGTCTATGGCAGAAACCTAACACCCTGAGTACACCATTCCTACTGTGAAACATGGTGGTGATAGCCTCTTGCTATATGGACTATCGGCAAGTACAGAGAAGCTGGGAAGATGGATTGAGCCAAATACAGAGTAATCATCAAAGAAAATCTGTTACAGTCTCTGCTAAAGTCATGAGACTAGGGTGCAGGTTTACCTTCCAGTAGGACAATGACCCTAAAAATACAGTTGCTCAGAATGGAATGGATTAGATCAAAACATATTAATGTGTTACAATGGTTCAGTCAAAGTCCAGACCTAAATCCAATTAAGAATTTGTGGCAAGACTTGAAAATTAGTGTTTATATATGATCCTTATCAAATCTGACTGAGCTTGAGCTATTTTGAAGAGAAAAATGGGCAAAAATGACAGTTTCTAGATGTGCAAAGCTGATAGACATATCTGAAAAGAGTTATAGCTGCAAAAGTATTGACTTGGAGTTAAGTGAATACATGCTTCCAAATGATGACTGCTTTGATTTCCTAATTATTAGTTGTATCACAATAAAATGTAGTTTGCAAAGCACAGTGAATTTTGTATTCATCAAATGATAAAAAGTTCATTTAAAGCCATTTGTATTCCTGGATGATAGACATACAGGCACCTCAAAATGAAGCATTAATGCACCGGGATATCCCTCCTTGTGATTCCATTCAACCACATTTACACAATGTTCTGTATGTACTGGAATTTTCAATATTACTAAAAAAAGTCATTATGAAGCCTTACTGTAATAGAATAAGTTAACTATAACAGTTCATCCAGAAAAATTTAAATAATAAAGCTAGTGATTACTTTTCTGGGACACTTATCAAGTTGATTGTTAAATCTTAACCAAAATGCAAGCCATTTAAATTGTCTAAGAATGGTCTCATTCCACCTTTGGTTTGACCAACAATATACTACTTTTGGAAATCAGACTATAGAATATTGTAAAGTGATTATGCATCTATTTTTCCTGCTTGTTGGGGAAGTGTATAATCACAGAAGATTGCCAATTAACAATTTACCATTGTCTTCAATGTTCTATGACTTTGGTTTGAATAGTATGCTTCTAATTTTTGTTACAGCTGACATCCAGAAAAAATTGCTATTTCCAAACTATCACATTTGCTTAGAGATAATATTCTTATTAGAAACAGAACAGAGCTATATAGGTATGGATAAACATGATGCTGTGTAAACATAGATGTTAATCCTTGAAATAAAACAATCTTTCACTGTACTAATATATGTTAAATATCTAGTATACTCTGTCTCTTTTTATGCACTTAAATAATCATCAAAACTTTCCAAGACAGTAATATTCATTATAGGAACATCTGTTCTATGTTAATCTATTGTTACTTTTTCTTTGATTCTATTTTTTTCCAGGGTCGAACTCGAGCAGCTTTATTGGATGGGTTGTATATGGAACTTGACAAGATGAACTCTGAATATTTTGGAGTTTCATTTCTTCAACCCTCAAAGCATGAAGGGAACAAATTTTTGAATACAGTCAAGCGAGCACTTAGTGGAAAGAACCGGACACCTGCACTGGATGCTCGAGATAATCGGAAATCCAATGGCATAACAGTTTCCCTACCAACTGTTGGAGAGGATGAGAGGACTCCAACAGTGGTTAATAACGCTTTCATTCTCTTGTATCACTGTTTTAGCTCAACTGTGTTTAATCACTTTTCATAATATAAGATTCATTTAATTTTTTAATACTAACAATTTTTTTTCATCAAGCTCACAAAGACAGAAATCTATCCTTCTGCATACTGCTATTCATATTGCTGTAGTTGATATATGACTAGCTATATGTCAACCAGATGAAAATAAAACTTTCTTTCTGAAATGTCTGGGCATATCTTCACCAAAATTTGTTTTTTGTTTAAATATTTATAGTATTTGATGAATATAAATGATGAATGTCAAGAATTCTAACCATTTTACTTTTTTCCCATTTTGTTCAGAAGAAAATTTATAACACATTGAAATCTTCCATTTTATTGAAACAACCAATGTATGTTATATGAGAATTAGGGATAGAAGGTTATCTGTGTTTAACAATAGAAACAAAATTAAAAAAATTACAAAGTGTAATATGTTCTTTCTGATATGAATAGAGAGATATTTTGAAATGTTTTAGTTAAATAATCTGTTGATAATTTACGATAAATCCAAAGTTTTCAGATCATTTTTATCAAATATCTTTATTGATACATTTGTCATAATAGCTGATTCTTTTTGCAATTTTTTTCTTTAAAGGCTAAAAAGTCTCCAACAGGTTTCAATAGTTTGAACCGGAATCTTTCTGGTGGCTTTGATAAGAAAAACAAAATGTAAGTATATTTTTTACTTTCATATTATTTTACTGTGTTGTTGAAAGTGTGGGTGCCTATCCATATATATGCATTTCCATTTTGATGAGTAAATTCATCTTAGTTCATATGCTTACAGCATTTCGACCATTGTACTCATCATCCTTCTTCAGATACATCTTACTCAGTAAACTTTTGAGAAATTTTAATGGAATACATCCATGTTGGTAAATTGTTTAGAGAAAATCATGTATGTATCAATTAATATTATTCAGTTTATTCATGTGTTTCATGCTTTCTCTCTGCTTATGGCCACCAAAAATAGGCAAAACAATGAGACTTGTATGTCATAACAGTAGTATGCTATTATTAAAACTGCCTGCCACTCTTAAGCAGTGTCTCACAAAAACAAGTTCACATGAAACATCTTTCCTATTTTGAAAGAATACTATTTTTTTTTAAAGGGAATGAATGAGATATGAGTGACCAAAGCATTCATTAGGTAGACTGCCCTCTTGCTTTACAGGGATTGTTCTATGTCTTCATTCAACTTTCTTTTTCTTTTAGTCCTTTAGTTTTGCTGGTGTTGTTACTTTTCTCCCAGAATGTGTTTTCCTCACTGAATCCTCATGATGAGATGTCTTTAGAGTTTTCATATTGTTGGTGTTTCTAGTTGGTGGAGGTGTAGAACTCAGCATTCTGAAATATTTTTCAGATGTACTGACTAGGAGATAACCTTCATAGATGGGTCCTTAAGGGTGCCTCTGCTGTTTTCAATTCATCAACAGTTCCCATCAAATTTAATGTGGTATAACCTAGCATCCAGTTGCTCAGTCACTATTCCTTTTTCCATTACTTCTTACATGTGGTTTTGTGGTTGGTATGAAATAATAGCTTCCTTTACTCACTCCCCTTAAATTTGGATGAACTGAGGAAAAAGACAAAGAAATTCACGAGCCGTGGTGAAATTTTCTTTGGACCAATAAATTTCACAGAAATTAGCCATTGAGCCTAGAAAAAGAAAGAAAAGAAAATAGTGAGCCTTTCTGAAATACTGTTTCATATGCAAAAAATTAAATCAAGAAAAGAAAAATGACTGAAGTCATGTGAAAAGTTTCATTTCTGTTTGTGTCAATCATTCACATTTTCACTGGTGCCAAATTACTCGCTAATTATATTATCAGCCTTTAATAAAGAAACACGAGACTTCAAAGAATTTTCTCTCAACAATCCAAGAAAGCTAAGTATTTCACACTCTCTTTGTCTACTTTTGAATGTATGGAATCCGTATATCCCTTCTGTGAACAACAAACTCTCTTATCTTTGTTTGAAACGTTTTTGAATATTATTTTGTGTCAGATCATTTAATCTGTTATATGAACTTTTCCTCTTCATGGCAAGACTTTCTTGTTTTCTACCTTCACAAGTCAATGCCCATTTTTATTTATGAGTATTTCTGGTTTTAACAGGTAATTTGTGATTAGGAGAGTTTTTGTTCTCCTTGACAAAAGCTTCAGTGCCTGTGACAGAAAACTTTTTGTGTGTGTTTTGGTGATCCAACATTGCCAAATATGGATCAGCCTGAGTGACTTTGGCTTTCTGGAAAAGATTCTTCATCAGCTTTACTGCTGATTCTACTTTTCCATTAGCTTTGCTGTTATATGAGTTAATGGGTGTGTGTGTAAAAACAGTAAACTCCTAACTCTGAAACTGAAGACATTTTCCATGACAACTTGGTCTGGGATAACATTTTGTGAAATGGTGCTTCAATTTGGGGATCACTGTCTTAGTGTCAATCCTGTGGAGATGATCAATCTCCCAGAAAATTGCTCAAATAATCCAGTGTACAGAGATAGTTTCTGCCATCAAATCGGAACAGGTCCACTTTAACTTTTGCCCAAGCTCTCTCCAGAATTTTATGAGCCATCAGATGTTCTGCAGGATTTACCACTTCATATTTCCAATGTGTTAGGCATTTTGCTATGTACTGTTTTATGTCACTGTTCATGTTCAGCCAATATAAGCATTCCTGTGTTCTTCAGCAATATAAAAGATGGGATTACTCAGATAGAAATGCATAACACAGGTCTCAATGAACAATAAACACAGGATGAAAGTTTTAAAATAATTTTATATAACAAAACAGTTGAATAGAGAGAGAATGTAAAATAGCAGATGTAAGATCAACAAGAGGCACTTATCTCCTACTGGCTATCTCTCTGATTATCCATGAATCATGAGTTCATAAGTTGAAGTGTTCATAACAGCAAACAGATAGAAGTTCTTTAGAATATCTGAATGAAAATCAGTAATTATTCCTTTTGCAATATAAACTGGAAGATGGTACTTTTATTTTTTGTCCTACATCTAGTAATCAAAATAAATCCAAGACAAGACTGGGAAGATTTCTTTAGGAATATTTCCTTATTCATTACACATCTAAATTGGGTTTATTTTTCAGGAGTTTCAAGAATGGTTCTCAAACCAATTTTGTGCAATTTGGGCTTGATGACAAGGTGCATTATCCTGCTGAAATAACTCTTTGTTATTAGGCTACATGGAGTTCATGAATTGGTGCATGCAATGACATAGAACACATGTTTAGGTAACAGAACTCCCCCTACTTCTGATGTCAAGACACACTCCTATAAGATTATTAAAATATGACTCACTTGCCTTGTTGATAAATTGGGATTATGGCTACATTGGGTCTGTACCATAACCAAATCCTACCATCAATCTGAATAAAAGTGGAATTGTGACTCATCGGACTATATTATACTTTGCAAATCCTCTATGATCCAGTGAATGATATCACAAAACAGGTGGACTTTTCTGTACAGTGTTGTGGCATTAAAAGAGGAATGCTGGAGGGTTTTGTCCAGCCGATATGTCATGTAAAGTAGAGAATGCTAACTTATGTACTGGATATACATTTGATACCTTCTGTGTTGGATGCAGATGTGATTGAGACACGAATTTACTTTTTACTGCATTTTGTTCAGTTCATTTCAGCATCCGTGGGTCGGGCTACTGTGCTGTTTCTGATGACCGATAAACCTTATATTAGGTAATTTTATTTCCAGGGCACTTCAATATGGTTAGAAAGCATGATCTTGTTAGATCAATTACAACTGAGTAGTGAGTTCGCTGGATGCTCCATACCCACGGTTTGGTGCTACATCTACGCCACAAATTTTGAAATCACTATAAGGCATTTCTTGGTATACCTTTACACCGTTTATCGAAGATATCAAAAAGTTCCATGAATGTAACATCCTGTTTGTCTGGCATTTACTATCATGTCCAATTCAAATGATAATTCAGTTTGCTTTGTATGGAGTAGTCTGACCAACTGAATGTTAGAACATTTGCATATAAATCTAGACATTTCCATGATGCTAATGTACAGTGGCACCAGCTCCCATTGCATTTTTCATGCTGTTAAAAAATGACATTTGACGTGTCAGCATATCAGTTTTGGAGAGTAACGTTAAAATCACATTTTTTTCAAAAAGTATTTAAATCTGTTGAAATAAAATATATTTTTTATGATTTGGAAGAGGAAAATGATAAGAATCATTTAGCACATTATTTTCACATATGTATGGTTAAATTTTTGAATTGTTAAGCCATATATTTGATTTTTAATTTTGTTCATCCACTGGAAAATTTCTGTAATTGTTGTTATCAATGATTGCAGAATTTTTTTTTAGACTAATTTAAAATTGTCTTCATTAAATATAGAGTTTTTACAGAAGAATATATAGATGCAATAGTTTAAAATCTGATATATATATATATATATATATATATATATATATATAGATAATATTAGTGGAAAATATATATACATATGCAAAATATATATAAAAAATACCCATACATGTATATTTTCAGAAAAAAATTTTCCAAGAAGAAGAATCCAGGTAGAACTCAATGTCTAGGACAGAGTAAGGATATAATAAAAGGCTTAAACACTAATATTCCATGGTCATAATTTATTCCATTGGAATTGTAAATACGATCCAAATCATCAGACCTACAAATTCAAAATGAAAACAGAAAAAACAACTCCGAAATCAAAACAGAATTTAGAGAAAGTGTAAGTATGAGGAGGAGGGAGATGAAACCTTAACAGAGAGAATTTTAGGAGATGTGGGGGGGGGAATTAAAAGAGGAGAGAAAGAAAAGTCGACGGATGTCTAATGCATAAAGATACATTTCGTGGTGACATACACACATATATAGACAATTAGGGATTAGGATAAAAAAAAAAGGGGGAAAGAAAGAGAAGAGGTGGGGAGAGAGATGGGACGAAGGAAAATAAAATTGTGTTTACTTAAAGGGTGTCTTTGTAATTGAGAAAATTTGACAAATTAATATCAACTACAGGTTAGAAATCAAATATAAATATATGAAGATGAATATAACGATTGTCTAATCTAGCAAGGACCAAATATTTCTATGTTCAAAAACACATATACCAAATACACACAAAAATATATACAAGTAGGTACATACACTTAGGCATGTACTCACACACACACACATACGTGTACATACACATACATATATATATATATATATATATATATATATATATATATAAAAAACCTAAAAATATAAAAATATATTCACATATCCACACATACACATATTCATCTATATTCATATACACTCACTTTTCACATACATATACACGCATACACATGCCCCCATGCATATATTCATACATACATACACATACATATATATATATATATATATATATATATATATATATATATATATATACACACATATACATATATACACACACATACATATATACACACACATACATACACCTACATATACATATATATATATACAACACATACACACACACACATATACATCCATACACACACACATACATATCCATATACACACATACATGCACACACATAAACATATATATATATATATACACACACACACACACATATATATCTATATACATGAATATACATACACACAATATTTACATATACATATATATTACCCATACATATGTACACATATATACAACACACACACCTATCAAGAATACACACATACATATATACATACATATACATATACCCATACATACACACACACACACACACATATACACATACATACACACACATATATACATATATGTACATATATAAAAAGTTAAAATCTAAATAAGTGACGATTCAAATATTTATCATGTGTAAAAAAAAAAAAAATATATATATATATATATATATATATATATATATATGCATATACATACACATACATACATATACATATACATACATGCATACACATACACAAATATATATACATATATAAATACATAGCACATCACATAAACATGCACAATGATACATTTAGAGATAAACATAATAGTCATACAATTAAAATGTCATGCCCAATGTTATAGGACTAAGATGGAGCTGACAAAAGTGACAACATGTTACAAAAATGTTCATGTTTTGAAACGTTTCTTATGTCTACATTTAGAGAATATCTCATTCAGAAGATTCAGCAGCTCATCTCGATTCTTATCTTTGATAATGAAGATTTTTCCACCATGCATAGATCACAAATTTCTATTTTAAGTTATTAGGTGTTCTGGCTCTAGATAGGAATTCCATTTCAAAATTGGGTTGAATCCTTTATCCACCATTTGTGTGTATGTGGACCACCTTCCTTTTTATATCCCCCAACTCTCCTAAATTCTCTCTGTTAAGGTTTCATCTCCTCCTCCTCATTTTTTTTCTCTAAATTCTGTTTTGATTTCGGAGTTGTTTTTTCTGTTTTCATTTTGAATTTGTAGGTCTGATGATTTGGATCAGAAATTTTGATTCCAATGGAATAAATTATGACCATGGAATATTAGTGTTTAAGCCTTTTTTATATATATATATATATATATATATATATATATATATATATATATATATATATATACAAATGAATTATTCACACAAAACTAATGCAAAGGTTAATGATTTAAATGGCGAGACATCCATCATCGCAAACAATTCAAATAGTATACAAAACCTCCAGATCCGTTATGAATGAATTGATCCTTGTTTATATAAATTTCTGCCGTATTAGTTGTTATTTTTTTACTACAAGCTTTCGTCTGTTCCTACAGACATCTTCAGGTATAGAATAGATGTTGTTTTTTGTTTTTCTCTTAGTAATAAGAGGACAACGAAAATATATGTGTTGTTGTATCCGAAAATGCTATTGAAAATGAGTTATTGGTTTTGGAACGCGCCAAAAAACGCTGAGTTTGATTTTAAATTTTTAAAGTGTTTGCGTTTATATTTTAGAAATTTGGTGATCAACAAATTTTTTAACGGTAAATTTTACTGTCAAAGTGGCATGAACTATATTGTTCAATAATTACAGTAATGTCGCAATAATTATTATTTTTGTGTGAAAATTTATGTGGATCAGATATTTAAATTACAATTTTAACGTATATCAATTTACAAATACATGAATTATTCATAAAAAAAACTAATGGTAAGGTTTTGATTTAAATGGCTTGACATCCATCATCCAAACAATTCAAATAGTATACAAAAACCTCCAGATCCGTTATGAATGAATTGTCCTTGTTCCTTCATCACCATATTTGGTATATATATATATATATATATCCCCCAGATATCTCTGGGGTTTAACAACAAAATTCTCCCACTTTGTCTTTAAGTCCCAAATGGCTTACAAATGATAAATCCTCTTACTGAAATCCAGGGACAGTCCCCATTTTGTTGGACAATCTACTTCCTTATGGTAGACTAATCCATATCTACTCAGTGTGTGCTTATAAAACCTCTGAATCAAAGATGAAATCTCTTGTAAACTGAGAACCTCTTCCCAATTAATTATTGGTTTGTCCTCCTCCCATTTCAATTTCCCATCCTGTTTGGAGGGTTTTTTTATCCTCCACTTTACCTGCTTACTTCCTGACTCTGCCACCTTGAATTCTATTGTGACATTCTGCTCAATCTTGCTAAGTCTGGAACAAGGCTAATGACAGAGGTTCCTTTCAGGTAGCAAGTCATGTGAGATCCGACAGAGTTGTTGTCTCTTCTAGAATTCTGGAACTACTGTATTTTTACACACAGACACTCTAAAATGTTCTGCTTATTTGAAACATCCATCCGAAACTGGCCAAGGGTTTTGACATGGTTTGGGGTTTTTGTTTCCCCATTTTCCAAACAAGAATCCATTTGTTGTCTGGTCAGAAATTAACTATATCTTCAATTTACAAAGATCCAAAGCAAACAAGTGGTGCACGAAATGGTGACAATCTGCCCTTACTTTTTTATCTTATATATACATATATAATATATCCCAAAACAATATAGGCATATATATATATCCTCCTTGGTATTTCCAGGAGCAACTGTCAGTTTGGCTGTCTTGTAACCAATCTGGTTCTCAACTGTGGTGTGGCTTAATTTGTGGTCATTAATTTAAAATTATCATTTTGATTTCTCATCAGAAAAATTTCTCAGCCTGGCATTGCTCATAAAATTAGAAATTTACCAACTGCCTTTCAAGTACATAAAGAAACTCTGTTTCTTCAACTTGGTCAATGGAGGCCACCATTTTCTTATCTCTTGGACCAGTATTTTTATAACTAGCACTTTTAGGACTGTATATTAATCATATATATATAATGTCCATATTTCTTTTAAATAGTTTCATCTAATGTCTCTGATTTCTTTTCTGCTTCTGCTCAAGAAAGAAAAACAGAATTTCTGAATTAAAAAAATTTCAAGTTTACTCTCAAATATATCCAAATGAAATCTTCTTTAACCCTTTAATGTATTAGATCTTTATCTTGTTTAATATTTTCCAGATCAAAGATGTTATCATATGCAGCCTTCTGAAATATTCCTTAATCAGAGGCTCTTTCTCAATGGTGTTCATCTATATGTTATATGAGTATAAAAATCAAGATGAATATTCTCATTCAAATGAAATGGTATAAAATAATGATAATTATTCATCTCAAAACTCCCAACATAAGTTATATAAAGTACTGTTCTTAAATAGATATCATACTGATGGCTCAAACCTGGTGTTTAAAATTTTAGTTTTTAAACTTGGTGTTAACATTTTAGTTTTCAAACCTGGTATTTAATATTTTAGTTTACAAATAAAACACATATACAGTTTTTCACTAAAAATGTACTTTATTTTAAATTTTTGTGATAGATAACTCACTCTATCTAGTTAACCTCGTATCAATGAAAGAAATGTCTCTTTTGAATATCACTTGGCATTAAAAAATGGGTTTGGTTATTCAAAATTTAATCACTGATATTATTTATAAATGTATAAATTATTTTACAACTTTAATTATGATAACCTGTACTATATTTGACAAAGAAAAACAATATGAAAATATTGCTAAAAACTCATTTACAATTGTTAGTTTGTACATATGTTTTCATATTTTTTATGATGTAATACTCTGAAAATTGCAGGTGACACATGAGATTTAACTACACTTGGTAACTGTGACCTGAAATGCAGTTTAAAATATTTACTCAGATCAGAAAAATTAATCAAACTAAAGTTTAGGCTAAATATCTATCTACAATCTATCTTTCCTAAATATATAAATTTTGATCAAGAGTAAAATATCTTAAAAGATTTTGTTAGTATTTTTATAATGAAAAAAAATAAGATGAAATAAATACTAATCAAAAATTAATATTGGTTTATATCTGTTTTCAATATCTAATAAAAATATAAAGATAATATTACTGTCTGTTTCTTTAACAATGTAATTCTTTTCTATTATGTAACAACTTATATCAAATCATTGCAAATAACTGATGTTTTGATTCCTCCTACTGGATTCTAGCATCAACATGATTATGATGTTCATAAAATGATTTTGCTTGTTTTAAAAAGTATATTTATATTTGCAGGAACCGTATGGACAGTCAAAGCACTCAGTCTTCATATCGGACATGGGTAATCCTCCCAATGTCAGTCCAGTCCAAGTTCTTTCACAAACTCAACATCAAGGTATTTACGCATTTATATTAGTCCATTCATTGACTAAAAAGAAACTAATTTTATTCCTTACTCTTATTTAACTTTGTAGTTTTCATTTCATATGCTATTTTGTACTTTCCAGTTGTATTTTTGTATGTTTTTTTTGTATTTTCCACTCTACACAGAGGTCAAAAGTAAATGATACATTATTTCTAACTTTCAATCTTGTGTTTGTTAACCTTCATCATTTTTAATTAAGAAAAAATTATTAAAGATTTGAGAAAGAAAATCTGTCTAATTATATAATCTATATTTCATGTATAAATTATAGTTTGATCACTTTTTAATTTAATGCAATTTTTTGAGTTTTTATGATCAATTTTACTTTGTCTTTGTATATTTGTTTTTTTTGAACTTTCAAATAATGCCTTTTCGGTGTCTCTTGCTTCTCTTGCCTTCAATATGTGTTAAATCTTCAAATCTTTTTTCCAATAAGGAAATACATCTAAAAATATTTCAACTCTTTCTGATTGTTGCCAGTAGTTTTTTTGTAGTTCCTATCACCCTTAAATATCTACATTTTTCACATTCTATGTCTGTTGTATTTTTTAGTCATTTTAATGACGGATCCGTATAAATCAAATCATGTATTGTTTCTATCTCTTTAGTTTCCTTATTCATTGCTATATATGAGATTCAGTATTACATAGCACTTTGCTTTTTTTTAGTTATTTTTTACTTTCCTTGCGGTTTCTCAAAGGTGTTTTTGCTATTCTTGTGTGCATTTGGATTTCTATATAGCTTGTTTTATTATCTGTTTACAATCTAAATAATTAAATTTTTGCCTGACGAGTTATATTTGCTTATCATTCACACTTTGATGAGTTAGAATATATTATATAAATATATATATATATATAAATATATATATATAAAGTTTGCAATGAAAAGAAAAAGGTAAAAAAGATGAAAGACAAATAACAAGCAAGCAATTCTCGCTTAAAGCAAATCAAACAAAAATGAAGGCAAAAAATTCCACAAACTATGAGTTGGTGTTTGTACACAAAAGAAGGTTGGACAGTGAACACACTAGGTCTGTCTATAGTTAAGATAGAGCTGAACTGAGTCATGTTAAAACACAAAGCTGTCCCATTTTTTTATCTATGAAAATATCCCAAATGCATTTTTTGTCCCTTCTTCCTACTATAAGGAATCAGGAGGGGAAAATCTTTTTAATCATTCCTAAAGCTTTTGAAATCAACACTTTTTGAATTAATCCCTTTTTGAATAACCATGCATTGTATCTGATAAATAGATTTTTATGGTTCAACATTTCCTTGCTTTCATTCCATTTGCATTTTCTACTAATTCCTTCAGTTTTCCTTTTGAATTTATCATCAACACAGCATAGCATATGTTATTAAGGTTAAATTCCCTAATAATAAGTCTTCATATTCTTACAAGTTTTATTAAATTCAACAGTTAAATAAATCCGTTTAATTATTTATTGCATTTTCTGTATTTTCTATTGTTGCATATGCAAAGTTTTGTTTTCAATACAAGTTATTGTTTATTAGAATATCTTTTCTGTGCAAATCAAGTTTCATAAAATTTCAAATTTTGGTGTCATACTTTATTACCATTGTGTAATCTATGAAACATAAGTATCAAGCTTTCTGGACTTGTTCCTCAAAATATTTTGATCATGAAAATTTATTTTCTTGTTCCAATGTCTTGAACAAAGTTACATAGTCCTTTGACCTAAAGAATTGTATTCTAATACCTGGCAACAGAATAAGAATCTTAATTATTAGTTTTCTTATGTAGCTCATCAACCTGATATCCAGATCAAGTATATATATTCATTATTTCTTCAGTATATATATATAAATATATGATATTTAATGAGAACCTCTAATATTTATGCATTTACTGTTATATATTTTATTATTTCAGTAACCTTATTGATACCCCAGATCATTTAAAGCTAACAGTATCTTTATTGCAATCTCATCTGGTTCTGCTGTTCTATTTGACTTTGCCAATGCTCACCTAATTTCAGATTTTAATATTATGGGTTTTTCCATGCATTTATGGATTATTGGTTTCTCTTCATTGTTGTTATGGAAGAACTCTCTTATTTAATCATTCTACCTTGTCTTTTTTCAGAGACATTTTTGTGTTCTGATATTTCTTTTATGTTTTTGGTCATACCTGCTACATTTGCATGTTGCAGTCTTCAAACTCTGCAAATTTCTCAATGAACCATTTCTCTTTTACTTGCTTTCACTTAATTTATACACCATTCCTTGGTATTATCTGCTGTCTCTGTTGTGTTAGATCAAAAATTTTGCCTATGATCCATTTCTTGTTTCCTTGTCTTGGGTAAATTTCTTTTGCTGTTGTCACTAGTGCTTCCCTTCAGATATTTCACTTTGGATTTCTGATCTCTTCTTGAATTTTGTACTTATTCGTAACTGACAATGAATATGTTTATTTGCAAATAGAATCATTATGGAGTTTGTCAAATTGAATGGTAGAAATTCCCTGGGTTTCTTCAATTTTGTAGTTTTATGCTTAGTTTGTACATGATTAGGTGATCATTCCTCTTGTCAGTACTTGGGAGTATGTTTTAGAGCAGAAGACTGCACTTCTAAATTGTTTGTTGTCAATTAAATAGTCAGTTTGATTTTTCATATCTCTGCCAAATTTTTCCAAATTGACATCTTGACATCTTGAATATTGTTTAGTACTTGGTCATGCTCCAATGAACACATTTTTCTTTGTGTTATGTGATTCAAGTTCATACTCACCAACTGTTGTATAAATATATATTTCTGGGGGATTTGAATGATTCCTCTTTGACTAAAGAGACACCATCTTGCCAGGATTCTAACAGTCTGTCCTCTATTTATGCTTTCAAACTGAATAAAGCGTTAAATATGAAGATATTCTAGTTATGACAATTTATTCAGCTTGGATTTTTCCATAAACAAGTAACCTGTCCTTTGCCCAGATAAACTTGTGGTTGACCTGACTTTACTGGCTGCTAAGAGGAAATATTGAAACTGGCAAAAAATGTTTGAGAACTTTATTGAAGAATGTGGAGACCGAGCTCCTAACAAACTACACTGTCTAACTAAATACATCTCCTCAGGCATCTATAAATATTTTGCTGATGCAGTAAGTTATGAGAAGGCACTGGAAATTCTAATGAAGATTTTCAAAAAAACAAAAGAATAGACATATTCTTGCTACAAGATGCCAACAACCCTCAGAAACACTAGACAAATTTCTTTGCGAACTTCAGAAACTGAGCAAAAACTGCACACTGAAAGCTGTCAGAGTGGAACAGTACTGTGAAAAATTAGTGAGGGATGCTTTCATTAATGGGCTGTATTTGTCAAATATATACCAGTGTTTACTGGAAAATATAAGTCTACCTCTTTCTGAATCTTATCAAGCAAGTGCCCTGGACCTTACACAGCATAACATGGAGGCCTTCCAGCTGTTGGGTTCTGTTGTTGTAATGTGGGGATACCCAGATTTAGGTAATGTAACAGTCAAATTTATAATAATGATGCAACTGTTGCAGATGTAGCTCCGGTGAAAAAATAGTGTTGGTTTTGTAGTGGCAAAATTCATTCACATACAAAATTCACAACAAAAGATAGTGATTCTTCTTCATGTTGGAGTAGAGGTTACTGGGTTCAGGTTTGCCAAACTAAGAATAAGAGGAAGGTCACTACAGCAATATTGTCTCCCTTTCTCTGTGCTACTTTTGCTGCTGTTCTCTATTATTTGTAGACCTGAGAGTGAATGGAAATAGTTTCTGTTCTTATTGACTCAGCAAGCTCTGAAAGCTTTATTGATAATTGATAAAAAAAGTTGCCCAAACAATTAAACTCACCATTAGGCCTGTTATACAGAGTATTACAATCTTCTTCAAAGGCATCTGTCACTGGTGAGTGTAAAGTAAATCTGTATTTAAACAAAAATTTCTACCCGGAGACACACCTGAAGGTTCTTGAGAATCTCTGTAGTGATGTTTTATTTAACAACATTCTGCTATTATGATTGTATATGAAGGACCTAAACTGCAACTTAGTTTCCAATGCAGAAAATAATTTTGCTTGCAGTTTAGCAGCAGCAGATTTGCCTGAACCTCTGTTATTCAAAAACATGCAGAAGAATGCTAAACCTGTAGCCGCTAAACCAAGAAAAATCAGCCTCTCTGACTAGGATTTCAATATTGCTCTTTGAGGGAATCATAGAACCAAGCACTTCTCTATGGTGTGCACAAATTGTTGTAGTAAAGGATGACTTGAAGGCCTACAAGAAACAAATGTACATAGACTATTCAAATACGATGAACATTTACACTGAACTTGAGGCATATATCCCTTACCCAACTGTTATGGAGTGATTTCACAGTGGAGGCTTGTACTAAGTCGGCCCTAAAATAGGTTCAACGTACAAAACATTAGGAACTTCATATAATAGGTGTGATGCAGAGTAATCTAGTTGTGGTCGCTGATACTTTAGTATCCGACTAACGGTCGTCTGGCATCGACTGACTGACCGACCCACTGAGCGACTGACTTATTACTCTTACTACTCCTACTTATTATAGGTGGGAGAGTCTATTAACTATAGAATAGGTGTGTTCGACTATAACATCCCCCCCTAAAACTTTACTCCGTAAGAGTAAACAATTTTCTTTATTTTTTATTTTTTACAGAAAATATGAAGAAAAAAAAACAAAAGAAAACATCATTTTTTTTTTTTTTTTTTTAGCAACATCGTAGCATATCTCCTACGCTTTTTGATCCACTTTTAAATGATCAGTTGCCTTTCTTTTTCTTCTGGATCAGTGTACATCAGGTAAAATTGTTGCAGGCGTTGTTAAATCAAACGTATCGCAAATCACCTCCATCAGCATTTCTTCCACGGGACCGCTGTCAACCACGTCTGAAAAATGTCGTCTGATCTGGTTACTGCATGTGAATTTTTCGCCTTTCACCAAGTACATCATATTGCCAATCCGCTTT